GCTTTTTAAGATGCTGTCAAGGTTTGTCATTGCTTTCCTCCCAAGAAGCAGGCGTCTTTTAATTCCGTGGCTGGGATGGCCTTTGTTCTCCTATTTACTGATCTGACCTTGGGCAGCAGCAACTTTTTCAGTTCTGGAGCCCTGCCACAAAGGCTATCCAAATAATTTAAATTTGGGAATAGCTTCAGTACAAACAGTGCCCTCTTTCCCCCGTACATAATGCTGAGGGTCCTTGCCTCCCACCCTACCTCCTCATGCCCAGAACAGTTCCGAGAGTTGCTTCAGGAGCCCACCCCATTATTCTCCCTCCCACAAGAACACATCCTTCCACACAAGGAGCTCAAGACCCCAGTTCCCAGTTTCTCCACAGGCAGAAAAAAAAGGTGGGACAGAAAACTCAATGGGACAGATTTAAATCGAGATGGCTGCCAAGAAATCAGAAGAAGATGGAGACACAGAAGGGATGAAGGAACTGGGGAAAAAAAGGTCATCAATTGCAAGGAGGTGTCCCCGGAGACCAAGGCCTGGTTCATCCGCGTGACTGTCTTTCCAGCCACTACGTCTTGGGTGTGAAAAGCTGGACAGGGAAGGACGCTAACAGGAAAAGAACGTGGTTCACTTGAAATGGGGTCCTGGAGGCCTTTGCAGATACCTTGGACTACCAGAACGACAAACAAGTGGGTCCTAGAGCCAATGAAGCCTGAATGATCTCTGGAGGCCAAAATCGTGAAACTGAGATAGTCCTACTTTAGGGACATCGTGTGAAGGCAGGATTCTCGGGGAAAAGAAAGCCTGAATGATCTCTGGAGGCAAAAATCGTGAAACTGGGATGGTCCTACTTTAGGGACATCATCGTGAGAAGGTAGGATTCTCCGGAAAAAGACAATCATGCTGGCAAGGTTGGAAGGCAGCAGGAAAAGAGGAAGACCCCAATAGGAGATGGACTGACTCATAGAATCCTAGAATCATGAAGTTGGAAGAGGGCTCTAAGGCCCTCGAGTCGAACCCTCTGCTCAAGGCAGTCAAAAGCCGATCCAACCGAGGGTTGTCCAATTTTCTCTTGAAGGCCTCCAGCGTTGGAGCGCTCACCACCTCTCGAGGTAACTGACTCCCTAAAGGAAGACAGGAGGGCCTGGCGTGCTCTGGTCCATGGGGTCACGAAGAGTCGGACACGACTCAACGACTAAACGACAACAAAGGAAGCCACAGGCTTGAGTTTGCAAGATCTCAGCAGGGCAGCTGAGGACAGGATAGGCTGGAGATGGTGCGTTCACAGGTTCACCCTGAGTCAGCACGTTAACAGCAGCATCCCATTCCAATAGCTCAAGCCCCCTGATACAAATTTAAAACCAACACTCTAAGGCAGTTAATAATAAAACTATTTCAGTTAGTTTTTTTTTTCCTAATGTATTTGCTTAGCCGCCTCAGAGTGTCTTAGAGCCTGGTATGGGGTCTGGGTGCCCAGAAGATTTGGCCAATTGAGCTTCTGGGGATTCTGGGAATCGCAGTCCGGATGGTTAACCTTTCCACTCCCCACTTTTCAAGCAGTGCAATTGGACAGGATAGTAATCATAGCACGCCTCTTGGGGGGAAAAGAAAGGATAAACTGCAACAGACCTGCTCAGCCGAGTGAAAAATCTCTAGGGCTGCAGCCAGAGATGAGCTGGGTTGGCTTAATCGATGAATAAAAGCAGTTTAAAGCAGGTTGGCTTTGCATGCAGGACAAGCCCATCTTGACAGTCAAAACTTTAACCAGCTCTTTCCCTGTGAATACAGACGAAGAACTCTCAAGGAAGCGAGACAAACCACATGGGAGCAGCCACAGGAAAGGCCCTGCGCTCTGTACGTGTTGCCTTGGCAAAGCCGGGCGCTTCTCTGCGTCTCCCTCCCAGGAGAAAAACAAAAGCCGAGTCCCTCCGTCTTCCCAGCACGCAACCCCGTGGATTCTCTTACCGCTTCCTTTTCCAGAAAAGGACATTCACAGCCTTTCAGGGCTTAACATTCCGCAGGAGATTCGCAACGCATTAAAACATGCACTGAACTGACAGATGATCCATCCGTCTAGGACATCAATATAGAAACGGTCTTAACCACTGCTGATGAAGTATCAACACTGTACAATAATATATATCTCCAACACATAATGGATAGGGTAGGATGCTTTCGTGCTGCATGCAAAAGCTTACGTCATTTGGCACCAGCTTGGACACTGAAACACGTACAATAAAAAGCCAATTGGTAAAGTTCTGAAATAAATACTTTCCAGAAGCAGCCCAGAAATAAAGAGCCAGGGGTGTGTGTGTAATGATTAGGGTAACAGACTGAGATTGAGAGGCTCGTGACTGAATCCTTACATGGACATGAAGCTCACTGTTTGACCAGGGGCTGACCTACCTCACACGGTGTTTGTATTATTATTTTCTGTGGTGCTTATTAGGAAAAGACAAAGAGAAGAAGAAATGCTCTACTGAATGTGCTTGATTTGTGCAATTAAGCCCCCGTTGGCATAATATGCAAATTTTTGCAAATTTGTATACAAGGCAGATAGGAAGCCAGTGCTATAATGGAAGGATTAGGAGATGGAAACTTATCCTTACCTTTCCCTCAGGCCTATATTCCGGAAACTTATCACTAGATGAGCTGAGAGCACAACTGGATAAGCCCAAACATGTGTTAGCCATCAGGCCCAGCATGTATATACATGTTTATGTGAACATATCATAAGTCACACTCTACAAGGCTTTGAGCTACCTTTTCATTAGCAAAATAAGGTTGCCACCTCAGGCAGCAGAGAACTAGGAGAGGTGAAATTGTGTTGCTCCTCCAGGAGAGCTCCCACTTCTGCTGCTCTTGACATGTGAATCAACCAGTCCCCGATGCTTGGCTTTGGAGAAGGGCAGACATTGCAAGCATATTATAGGTAGATGCCCAAAACTAGCACCCATGGTTTATACTGTATGTGCAGGCATAAGCAAGCTTTAAAGATGTTTTTTCAGCAGGTGGCAAAATCTTATGGATTACTCACATCTTTTCTCCATATTTTTACAGTCACCTCCGGTGTTGGAAAATGAAACTGCAATTTTATACTAGGACAGGCCAAACTATCATGGGTAAAACAGCTGACTTTAATAAGACAGCTATTCTAATTATGGATAAACATACTTTATAAAAGTTGGCGTTCCATCAACAAACAACCTCAAAAGTACAGAACGTTCAAAAATTGCAAAGTACCAAACATGAACAAAAACAAGGGGAGGGGAAAGGGGATCAAAAGCGATCTTGCAGCGCTTTGATCCCCGCTTTCCCCCTCCACTTGCTGAGGCCCAAGTGGAGGGGAAAGCAGGGATCAAAGCGCTGCAGGATCACTTTGATCCCTGCTTTCCCTGCCACTTTTTTTTTGTTCTCTCCTCAGCTTATGTCCGTGTATAAGACAACCCTCGATTTTTAGTGCAAAATTTTTAGACAACAGTATAGTCTTATACATGGCAAAACACGGTAACAGGACCTTTGGGATGTTATCAATTCATAGTGCTGGTGCAAATCAGAGGTGGCTCTACAGTACACAACAACCACAAACACACAATTCTCTCCATGGGAAGTGGTTCTGGAGAGGGCTGTTGTTATTTTTAGCCACTGAAACACCACAGTTCTTCAAGCATGGGGGTGGTGGTCCTGAACTAGGTGAGCTCCCCTCCCAGCACCATCCTGTCCTCCACCCCCTGTGGCTGCCGAGTGGAAGACAGGACTCCCCCCCCGCTCTCTGGGTCTGCACCACAGCGCCGCCCTGCTGTAGGTGACTGGCGAACACGGGCAGAGAGGAGGATGGCGTTGCCTTCCCTGGGAGCCGTCGGTTGGGTCCTCACATGAATGGGATGCTGGACAGGAGAGGTCTTTGGTCTTGCGAACTATCTACAACACAAGGGTCCAAGGACAAATCCTTCCTAGAGAGCCAACAGAGCCGACCACCGAGACAACCCACACAGGGCAGAAATTCAAGGCTGGATTGGGACTTAGGAGGCTCAGATTCAGGTTCCATACTCTGCCAAGACACACTGCTGGGCGACTGCAGAAAAACCACTGGTGGGGAGTTCCAGAATTTTAGGGGGAGTTCCCTTTCTCGTCCAACACGGAGGTGAGTACGACTAATAAATAAATAAATAAATAAATAATCCTACCCTCGAGAACACTGACCTAATCATCCTTTCCACCACTACTGAAACAAGCTGGACTGGGAGGAAACAGAACAGACGAACATAAATGAGCATGTGCAAGACCAAGAAGAAAGCCTTCTATAAATGTCTCAATGCATTTTTAAATCCTCAGAATGCTTGCAAAAAATGCTGTGATGTATAAAGCACTCATCTCTTTTTAAAATACCAAAGGACAGTTTTCACTGTATATACGTCTCTTTTAATACCCTTTTTAGTATTTACTCAGGAAAATGAACACTTATCACATGATATGGTTTTAATCAGGTGGCCAAAGTAAAGACTGTTTCAGACTCCAGCTCCCATCAACCCAGCCAGCATGGCAAATGGTTGTGCTGGCCAGGAACGATGGCAGCTGTAGTCTGACACCTCCGGAGAGGGCTGGGCTAGCGAAAGCGAGCTTCAAGTACGCAGCTTTATCTGCCACGAAGGTGGCAGTCTGCAGAACTCAGTGGGTCTTGCTTCTGAATAAATGCACATAGGATCTGGAAAAGGTAAAGGGCCACTGCCGATTGCAACTTGAACTTTCACATAACTTTGACCAGTGTTTACCTACCTGAGGCTGCACCAACTGCGTCATTGTCAAACACCTCTAGTCCCAAAGTCCTGCTCTTTTGACCCAGGTGAGATGGAGCAGAGGTCCAGTCTTGGAACAGGAAATCACAGAGAAGCCACGGAAACACGCTTCGGCTTCAGAGGAGTTTCCGCAGACGATCCCAAGGCCACCGCGGGCGGAGAGTCACAGCACAGCCCATGGAGGAGAGAGTCAGACAGAACCTGTAGAGGAAGACATATAGAGATTTCAGAGGGAGGACTCTTACCAACTTAGCAGCCGCCGCAAACGTCTGACATAGAACAGGACGTGGTTTTGAACTCAACAAGACTCTTTGGTGAATCACCTCCATGATAAAGTCTGTAGTTCTTATTAGTTTTTACCTTCTTTTCCTTTCTCTATCACACATTTTCTCTTGTTCCACCTTAGCCTTGTTTACTAAGCTCCGCACAAATCAATTGAGGGTTTGTTGGTTTGTTTGTTTGTTGATTGATAGATTGGATTTATACCCCGCACCCTCTGGCCACCAGGCCGCTCTGGGTGGCTAGCAAACAAAATAAACAACACACGATCAAAATAAGAAACCGGGCCTTCTCGGCGGTGGCCCCTCGACTTTGGAACAGCTTGCTGCCGGACATCTGCCTGGCACCCTCGCTGGGTATTTTCAAGAGTCAATTAAAAGCTTGTCTCTTTAAGCAGGGCTTCCCTCCTGCCAATACTTGATTTTTACTTTTCTTGGTTTTTTGTTGTTTATCTTCCCATCTTGATTATATTATTATTGTAGATTTTAAGTATTGTTTTTAAATCCGTTTTGTGCGCAATATATAGTGAGACGCCCTGAGTAGACTCTTGTCAAGAAGGGCAGGATAAAAATCTAATAAATAAATAAAATTAAATTA